GGAGGTATTTTTTGTTTGTTTGGTTGGTTTTACTTTGTTTTGGTTATTGTTATTTTGCAAAATAAAAAGTTGGCAAGTCTATGTCAGTCGGTTCTTTGTGGTTAAAATTTACCATTTGGTTTAATTCAAAAGGCTAGGAAAACTTGATATAGCTAACAAAATGAAAAATAGAAGCTCTGTTTCTGGCAATATGAATACTAGATATTAAAAAAAAATCCTTCTGGTGCAAAACAACTAAAAAAGAAAGTAAAATTGGGAAAAAATTATATATTTTAAAAAATGCATAGTTTTATTGGCAAGAAAGGATAATTTTTAGAGGCCAAAAATGACAAGAAAGCACAAATACAGGGAAAGCAGTATTTGGGAGAGAGGAGACAAATCTCAGGTTCTAAGCAAGGTGGGAAATAGGATCAAACACTCTTGCCTAGAGCTGCTGCTCCTAAAAGGTGACATCCTCAGTGAAAAAAGGAAATAGGAAAAAAGTGCCCTCAAAGAGAATGCAGTAAATATAAATGTCTGCCTTACCCTTGGGATGCTGGGAAGGATAAATTTCTCCTGAGAAATTCATAACAATGAGGCACTCTCACTGAATTTAAGGATTGAATTCTCATTACTTACATGAGCCGAGAAATCCCATGCTGTGAATTCAAAATATCCTGGGCTGGGTAGTTCTTCCAGGTGCCTGGCAGGGGCAGACACAAATCCTCCCTGAAGGCATGCACCTTGATTCCAAGCCTCAAAGAATTCCGAAGATAAAATTTCAATTAATGTTAGCTCAAAAATAAAAATCATGGGAGGCTGAGGCAGAAGGATCGCTTGAGCCCAGGAGTTTGAGGTTGCTGTGAGCTAGGATGACGCCATGGCACTCTAGCCCTGGCAACACAGTGAGACTCTGTCTCAAAAAAAAAAAAATAAATAAATAAAAAAAATCACAAAACAAATGAGAAAACAAGATGTCACAGGAGGAAATCAAAAGAAACATTAAGAAGCAGAATCAGAGCAGTGAAAACTTCAGATATTAGAAATGTTGAATACAAAATATAAAATAAAAGAAGTATTGAAAGTATAAGAAATTATTAAGTTGATTTTTTTTAAAAGAACCAATTAGAACTTGTAGAAATAAAAAATATAAGCACTGGCATTTAAAAGTTTCAGTTACACGGGTGAAAAGAGAGTTAATGAACTGGAAGATAGATATGAAGTAATTACTCCAAATGCATGGAGGAACAAAGAAATTGGAACTACGGAAGGAAGTTAACAGAAAGGAAAGATAAAAGGAGAAGGTACAATGTACATCTACAGAAAGTAATAATAGAAATAATGAGGGAGATGCATATCAGAAGTTATAATGTTTGAAAATTTTCCAGAACTGAGGAAATAGAGGAATCCTCAGATTTGGAAATCCTTATGAGTACCAAGCAGGATAAATTATTAATAGAAAACCACACCTAGACACAGCATATTGAAATTATAGAATATCAAAGATAAATAGATCTTAAAAGGACCTACACAGAGAGAAGAAAACTTAAAGGAATGACAAACTGATAGCTTACTTCTCAGTAGCAGCAATGGAAATTAAAGGAGAGATATACATTCAAAATTCTTCATTAAAAAATATTTAATAAACCAAATGTAATATTAAAGAATTAGAGGTCCAAAATGCCTATGTTTTATTAGCTTTAAGAAAATACCTTTTCACCTGTGACTGGAATGAATAACCCCACACACTTGGAATTTAAATATGGACATTTCCCCCTATTTTTCCAGTTAAGTCCATAAGTGTTCGCAGGTCCCACAGGCCCCCGGATCACGAAGCTGAGCCTCATCTTATCGGAGTTCCCATGCCCCATGATTGCATCGTCTCAGAATACTGGACACACACGCCAAAGTGAGTTGGACTTCTTCTAACGCCAGACATAGAGGGAAATGGAATTGTGTCAGTTTATACCACCCAGAGCAGCTACTTTTTCCTGCCATGCATATTGCAGTTGAATTTTGCCCTGAAAAATTCCATGGATTATTTGTTTACTACAAGCACACTCTGACAAATGCAGATCATTGCATAATCACAGGGAGACCCCACTTGGGGTCTCTTAAATTATAACTTTCTTGAGTGACAATCATAACCTCCCAGGAAGCTGTGGATCACATCAACCCCCACCACTACCCTCAGAGGAAGAATCACTATCCCTGTGTCTCAGGCTGGCCACCTGCCTTCAACAAGTGGAGGCACGGTTTTAAAACCACAGGAAACGCTAAAGGTCTTATATTCATCTCTCTGAGGGCAACGAAGCCTGCTTAGTCTACACTTACAAGAGAGACTACTCAATGACTCTCACAGAAAAGAGATCTCAAAGTGACATTTTCTCTTCCTAAGCCAATAAGGTCTTCTCACTCACAGTCCACTTTCAGGAACTGACCCGAAATGCATAGAATCTACTTATATCAAGACACAGCCACCAACTTCTCTTGTTAATAAAGAGAAGAAAACTCACAAAATCAATCTGGTAGGGTAACTCTTTTTGGGCCAACTAAGTACAACTAAAATGCCCGAACAGAGTTTTACCTGTGACTTACAGGTTTGCTTGTATGAAAATTACATTTCTTATTCATTTCTAAACAGAGAATGTATTTCTGATGGTATATGATTCCTGAATAAAATGGTGCTAACAAATATTCACATACTTTGTGAAGGAGAACACAGGCAAATTTTAAGGTATGATCTGTAGATATCAAACATGTTTTCCTTACTGGAAAATAGGTCTGACTGCTTGGCATGAATATTACGTTGGAAAAAAAAGCATCTAACTTCTCTTCATTTGGAAGACTAACATGTATCACAAAGTCTGAAAGTAAACCCAATATAACCAGACCAAATTCATTCAGCAGCAAAATTTTAAAAACTGCTGAGGCCAGCAAATGTGTATATGTACGTACACAAAATGCATTGACATTAACAGAAATCAAGGTGCTTTCCTCGTGATCAACTCCAAGGACATGGAAAACTGATACCTCAAATCTAACCACTTGCAAAAGGGCATTTATAAGTTACCAGGAATTTAAAGGAAATAAATGTTCATTGAAGAGTAGCTTATACTGAACTCTCATTTTTACATTCATTCTTTTACATATATGTTGGCTTATCATTTTTAAACTACCTTATCATTTATTAAATGTGACCAAGTAGCTCTGGATCCTTGGTCTCAGTTATTTTTTTAAGGCATAGTAAGAACAGGACTTTAAAAAATTCTGTAAAATTTATGCTTTTTAAGAAATAAATTAAGAAGTCACTTTGATTCCAATAAAGCCATCTTTATTAAAATATTTAAACATTTATTGCAAAAACAATACGTACTCTTTGTTTTTAAAAATGTAAACAATACTGAAGTATATAAAGTAAAAACTGAACATTCCCTGCAGCCCTGCTTTATCCTATTCCCAGTAGAAAGCCACCGTTAAGAGTTTTAGGCCTAACCTTCTAGATCTAGCTTTACTTCCTGAATCTTGTTCTTTTACCTAACCCTGTATCTTAGAGATGTTTTAATAACAGTACATACCAAAGTACCTTGTTGTTCCATAGTATTTCATAGAACAGATGTACCATAACTTATTTTCCTACTGATGGACTTAAGATTGTTTTCAATGTTTCATATATAAAAGCAAACCTGCAGTGATTATTCTTTGCACACACATCTCTGCATATTTGTAAGAACATTTCTCACGATTTCTAGAAACTGAATTAACATGTCAAAGAATCCATGTTTCATATTTTAATACATTATATTCATTAAATTTTTTTCTTTCTAGTTAGATTAAGTAAACTGTGTTTTGTTTTGTTTGTTTTAGCTCTAGTTTAACCCCTAGAAAACTGATCCATGGTCTTGGAGAACTCCTTCTATAGAAGGCCAAAGAAACTGAGAAAACACAGACGAAATAATCAAGGCTCGCCTCAGAAAGCAACACAGCTACACCATCAACTTCATGTCCCTGAGAAAATGAATCAGAACAAACAAGTATATCGAGGTCAAAGAAAAAATAAGAATTCTGGGTGTTCAAAACCACATCAAGAAAGAGATTTTTTAAAAAATTAAAGCCTTAAATAGTCTTAAATAATAGAGTAAAATGTGCCCATTTGTATGTGAATACTTATGTGCATAGATATACTTTCATGTGGCAGCATTTTTATATTCTAATTTCATACAATTTCAAGTATTTTATGACTTAAGCTTTCACATTTCTCACAAAGACATATTCCTCAAGAACAGAAACAATGTTTTAGAGCAAAGAATGTGTTCAATAAATCTTTACAGAGGACGAGTCTCCTGTCATTAGGAGTGAACATACATAAAGAACAAATAATGAAGCAAGGCCCTTTTACCCTTCAGACATCCCCAAAATAAAGAACCAAATTCAAAAATTTATAGGCTTGGCTTTCAGAGAAGTCCAACAGAAGCTGTGTGAGAATTTCTTTTTCTCTTGTACAGCTCCATTCCTACTTGTTCTGTTTTGATTTGCTTTTTTTAAATACTCCTGAGATGGCTTAATGATGTAACTTATGGAGAAAGTTGTGACTGGAGGTTCTTTTTAGTGCACAATAACTAATAGGTCTCTCTCCTGGATAAATTCTCAGATGCTGAGGAAGATATTTCCTGTGGCCAAAAGGTTTTCCTCACTAGTTTTAGTCAAAATGTCTTTTCCCAGAGTAGTTCTCTGAAGTCAACTGAAGTGACCCATTTGCAAAAGTCCTTCCCACATATGTCATAGAGTTTGCTATGAATTCCTTGATGCCGAATGAGGGAAGAGCTGCAGGTCAAGGCTTTCCTACACTCTGCATTCAGAGCGCTTCTCTTTAGTGTGAAGCTCCCATGTGTCAAAGGAAAGAAAAACTGTCACAAAAGGATTTCCAACATCTTTTGCACTCAAAGGTTTTTTCCTCTGGTGTGGATCTTATTATGGCGGACAAAAGCAGAATGGCAGGCAAAGGCCTTTCTACATTCAAGTCACTCAAATGGCTTCTCTGCAGTGTGACTCCTTGCGTGCCGAGTGAGGGAACAGCTGTAGGAAAAACCCTTCCCACAGTCTTTACACTCATAGGGCTTTCCTGCAGTGTGGGTCATACTATGGCGGAAAAAAACAGAGTGGTAGGTGAACGTCTTCCCACATTCACTGCACTTGTAGGGCTTCTCTCCAGTGTGAATCCTCATGTGTCGGGTTAAGGAGGAGTTGTAGTGAAAGGCTCTCCCACATTCTTTGCACGCAAAGGGTTTTTCTCCAGTGTGGGTCATATGATGCTGGACAAAAACAGAATGGTAGTTGAAGGTCTTTCCACATTCGCTGCACTCATAGGGCTTCTGTCCAGTGTGAATTCGGTGGTGGTACATGAGGTGCGACCTGCGGTTGAAGACCTTCCCACACTCCATGCACTTAAAGGGCCTCTCCCCAGTGTGAATCCTCGCGTGTCGAATGAAGTCTACCTTCTCACCAAAGGCTTTCCCACACTCCTGGCATTCATAAGGCTTCACTCCAGTGTGAATGCGCTGATGTCGAACAAGGCGGCAGTTCTTGTTAAACTCCTTCCCACATTCCTTGCACTTATAGAGGGGCTTCCCTTCAGGAATCAAGGTGTCATTACTCGGTCCCTGTGAGTCGCATTCATGGAGTGTATCTCCCGCCGAGACTTGCTCCTGTAAAACCCTTAAGCACAGACTATCATTTGTCCCCAACATGCTGCGTTCAGGGCTCATCTTCCTAAGGAGGGTCTCCTTGTGCGAGACGGTAACTGGCCCCGAGTGCCCTTCCTGCATTTCCAACCAGTCTTCCCGATCCCTCACTCACCCCAACCTGGAGGACGCTTTCGTCTCTCTTCTCTGCCTTTTACCAGTGCTTCCCGGCAGATCAACTCTGGTGTGCGCGCCCCAGTCACCAAGAGTCTGCAGGTCTCTGGCGTCACCTCTCAGCACAAGGTCCTCTCAGCTGCCCCCACTCCTTCCAGGTGAAGGTCACGAAATCGTCCTACACCACTGCCCGGGACACCGCCGCCTCCGATGCCGCCTGGGCGGAGCAAGAGGCGAGGTCCACGTGGCACTAGCATCCGCCTGCGCCTGCGCAGAGAGCGCCTCTGACTACAGACGCCAGAGAGCACTGTGCACAGCCGCCGCTGCGGAACTGTAAGTCCCCGGGGCTTCAGTTTCACGTTTTTATTTCTGGGAGTTTAAGCTTCAGTTATTCTGGAAGGAAGTTCACGCCGGTTGTGTCAGGCAGAGCCTTCAACCTTGCACACAGACATGTATGTCAACATGCATGCGAGGAATTTGGTCATGTAGGGTGTGCAGAGAGAGGGTGTCCTACTTATTTGTGGCTTATTTTAAATGCTGACCCACACTTAAGTGTACGCAGGGCCTGGGTATTAGAATCACTCCAGTCTAAATACTGAGTGTAGAGAAAACGTGGACATTCAGGATCTCTTTTACGTTGCTGATGATTCTGTAATTAGTAAAATCACTTTGAAAAAGTTTGGCTCCATCTCCTAAAGGTCTTTCCAAAACAAAGCTTCCTCGCATGCGTACTAGGAAATATGTCCCAGAATATTCACAACAGCAAACACTTGGAGAGTGTTCAGGAAAGAGAATGGCTTCTCCACAGAATGCAACATTATTCAGCAACCCGGGAGTGCTCTAGTCCCCTACCGCCCCCCGGGGAAGCAGAGATGCATCACAATTTAAGTTGCAGAATCCTCAAAAACTAAGGGTCCAGTAGTACCGCGTTGCTCCAGAACTGGCGAGGAGGGGAAGGCATCATGTGGAGGATGATGATGGTGGTTTGATCTCTGAGCAAGACCTGATCCACTGCCCTCTCCTGCCCCAAATGGAGTTGCTTATTAAAGTGAAGAGAGGCTCTTGGAATTAGGGAATGAGAGGCAAGTTTGAAGGTTTTGGTGAGTCCTGGGAAGAAGAGGATTGATAGTGATTTGACACACTGAGTGCTGGGACCTCCACCCCTCTTTGCTCTTCCTACCCCCCGTTTAGAATATTCCTCTCTGAGAATTGAATCAGCTGGAGGGGAGACCCCAAAATACTGACTTTGCAGTTCTCCCAGTGAGATGTCCTGGAAGATTGACTTTCAGCAAATACTTACATTTTGTTTCATTTTTCTGTCTTCTGCGCTGGCCAGAACCTCCATCTACTATATTGAAGAGAAGGGGTGATCTCAGATGCCCTTTTTATTTTCCTGATTTTAAAAAATTCTAATATTTCATAACTGAGAATGTGTACAGTATGGATTTTTGTTGGTATCGCCTGCTTGGTTACTTTCATGATGCATATAAATATTAGGGTCAGTTAGAGAAATAAAAGATTAGACAGACATGCCAAAGTGGAAAATCCAACAGAGTTTTCTCACCCAAAGTATTTGGAGCAAGTCAGTCACAATACAAGGCAGAGTGTTCAGCTGTGTTTTCCAGACAGCAAGACTCTCCCCAGCATGGGAGACAAGGGAGGACAGCAATGACTTAGGTAGCTTTGCATGAGCTGGTCTGAATAGGTTCTGAACTGTCATGCCGGGGACAGGTGTCCCCATCAATCTCAAGATGCCACACATTTGATGGCAAAGTTCTCTCCAGTAGTGGTTTTCAAAGCGTGGTCCCTGGTCTCAATTGTATTCATTTTTAAGAGTTAAAGAAATGCTGACCACTAAATACCTGCAACATAACCATAATAATGTGGGCAATTACAAAATGGTTAGCTTTGTTTCTTGGAAATGTCTATTTTTCTTTTCTTTAATGAATTTGTCTTGAAGCACATGGTTTTCATGATATATAGCAGCTTCTAAAATGATAAATAATTTCTGTTATTTGAGCTGTCAGTAGAGATGGTTGTAAGTAACCTGAATACCTCAGCAGAAAGTTGGTACAAATTAGGTCACGTCAATAGATATATCCAGACTCTGTTATCTGGGAGTTCTCAGGGGGCTTCACACAAGGGCTCCTGTGTCAGCATGGGCTACTGTGGGTGACTTAACCAATGTGATTGTAAATTGTCACCTGCAATTTTTGGTTCTTGGACACACCCATGGGCAGGGTACCCACCGCCATTCTTCTGCCTGCCTTTAGCACTATAGTCCAAGCATGAACTTCTGTAATATTAGACCAAGCTGTGAGTTTAATAAGACTTTGCTTAGGGTTGGGGATTGCAGAGGGACTTCCACACAGAGAATGACTTCCAACTGGCATTAGATATGGCTTCTCTTGGAGTACTAGTCCCCAGCCAATTCTCCTGGCCTCCATAGGACTGCCTTCTGCTCACAGGCCATCCTCCTCTCTACCCTTAAGGAAGAGGCCAGGTTTTCTCCACACCCTAAAACACCTCACATGTGCCTCGATTCGATGTCTAGGCTCCAGTCAAGACTCAGAGAGAGGAAGGAATTTCATTTTTAAACCCAATTCAGGCCTGTCTTCTCCATTTTATGTTTCCATCTTTTACCTTTAAAGATAACCGATCAGTGTAGTATCTTCTTCCCTTAATGGAGGCTCCATCCCCATTCACACCATTGTGGCCTTACCCTGTGACTGCAATAGTATATCCTTTTAGAACACAATAGTGCCACATTTCTACAAGATACACATACTTACTGTTATGGGCTGTATTGTGCCTCCCAAAAGATGTTGAAGTCCTAACCCCCAGTACCTGAGAATGTGACTTTATTTGGAAATAGAGTCTTTGCAGATGATTTAGTTAAGATGAAATCTTTAGGGCAGGCCCTAATCCAATATGACTATGTTCTTATAAAAAAAGTTTCAGAAAAAAAGAGAAAGCTCCTTTTGTTGAAAAGAATGATCATGCTGGGGAAAGAATAGTGTTTTCAACAAATGGGGGTGGAACAACTGGATCCATATGCAAAAGAAAGATCTTGAATCCTTAGCTCATACTATACACAAAAATTCACTCAAAATGGATCATAGACCTAAATGTAAGAGCTAAAACTATGAAACTCTTAGCAGAAAACATAGAAGTTAATATCTGTGATCTTGACTTAGGTAAGGGCTTCTTAGATATGACATCAAAAGCATGAACAACAGAAGAAAAATAGATCAACTGGGATTCATCAAAATAAAAAATTTTTGTGCTTCAAAAGATACCATTCATTGATAAAGTGAAAGGACAACCCACAGAACAGTAGAAAATATTTGCAAATTATATATTTGATAAGAGATTTGCTTCTAGAATATATAAATTATTCTCACAACTCAATAATCAAAAGACAAAATCTCCAATTAAGTATGGACCAAGTATTTGAATGGATATTTCTCCAAAAAATACATACAAATGGCCAAGAAGCACATTAAAAGACGCTCAACTCATTAGTCATTAGGGAACTGTAAAGCAAAACCACAATGAGATACCACTTCACACCTACCTGGATGACTAAAATAAAAAAGACAATAAGGAACATTGGTGAGGATTGGTGGAGAAATTGGGAACCTCATAGTCTTATTAAACTCATACTAGAGAAAGAGTCATATGTTGCTGGTGGGAATGTAAAGTGATGCATCCACTTTGGAAGACAGGCTAGCAGTTTCTCAAAAATTTAAACACAGAGTTACTATAGATTAGAACACAGAAATTTTACTCCCAGAGAAAATAGGATTTGATTCCCAAGAGAAATGAAAACATATGTTCACACACAACTTTGTATACAAATGTTCATAGTAGCATGATTCATAATAGCAAAAAGGTGGAAGCAATGCAAATGTCTGTTGACTGATAAATGGATAAACAAATATGGTACATCCATACAATGGAATATTACTCAGGCATGAAGAATGAAGTACTGAAACTTGCTACAACATGGATGAACTTTGAAAACATGTTATGTGAAAAAAGCTACTCACAAAAGGACACGTATTGTATGATTCCATTTATATGAATTTTACAGAATAGGTAAATCTACAGACCATAGAACGCAGGGCTCGGGGTAGGAGGCAGGGATGGGAATTGACTGCTAATGGGTATGCTTTTTCTTTTTGGATGAGGAAAATGTTCTAGAATTGGGTCGTGGTAATGGTTTGGCAACTTTGTGACTATAATAAAAAGCATTGAATTGTATAATTTAAATGGGTAAATTTTATGTATGTGAACTATACCTTAAGAAAGCTGGGTTTTTTTTCTTTTAAGAATAGTATTCAAATGTTCAAAAGAGCATTTCATTTCAGGGATACAGACAATAATATAATAACCACCCATATACTTCCCAGGCAGCTTAATAAAGAAAATCCTTCAGATGCAATGAAAGCCTCTTGTGTATTCCTTCTCGATTTAATCAATCTCATGCCACCTCTGGAAGTTACTAGGTTGTTTATCCCTACAGGTGAACTTAATGTTTATCATTTCTTGAATGCTTTACAGTCTTGCCACATTTGTATTTGTATATGTATACAGGAGAACATACATATTTATTCACAATGTATAATATTGATATGTATCTATTACTCCTTTTATTTTTAACTTTTCCAAGTCTAGGTTGTTCAGTATTAAATAACACTAGTATAGGACATCCACAGTGTAATCCAAGCTACATTTCTACTTCTTCCATAAGATCCTGAGCGAAAGGAAGGTCATTCTGTCCTTGAAGAGTCTAAATCCATTCTTATAAAGGAGCTATTTCTTCAGACAGGGTCTGCACAGGTACCACCTTGTCTGCTATGCAGAGTGAGTTCCACAGGACCACACAGAATATTGAATTCTTCAGA